GAGGAGGAGGAGGAGGAGGAGGGAGAGCCACCTGGTGAAGCTATGCCTTATGAGGTTGATGACGAACGGGAGCAGATGGGGGAATTAGAGCAGGATCACGATCGTGCTCAGGACTTCTATAGGTACTCGCCGGAGAACGCTAGTCTTGTATCCGCGGACTTCCACTTCCCCCAGCACACAAGGGAGGAGCAGGAGGACCGGCCACTCAGCGAAGCAGCACCCGACGAGACCAATAACAACAATGAGCGAAGAATCTTAACCCCAAAGTCTCGCCTGCCATTCGTCGCGGGAGAGTTCGACTCAGACGGACTCCAGCTGCACCGCAGTCAGAAACACTTCACATTCGAGATGTATCCGCAGGGCATGGCGCCACGGACCCGGCCGACCAACATCTTCCCCGAGCAGCGCAACGAAATCCTTATGTCAGAGGAGAGCTGGAAGGTGTTCAACGAGTATGTGCAGGGCAAGGGTGTCACTATGAGTTACCTGGACCGGGAGGGGCAGAAATACCGCGAAGCAATCAAAAAGAAAAACCGGGCAGCGTGGGCAGCGTGGGCTGCAGAGAAGAAGATCAACAATACTTGTGTCATCATGTAGGAAGAGAAGAGACACCCTTTCTTGACTTATCAAAGAAAAAGATTTCGGGGCTAGCCTGCGCTAAGCCCGCTGACTTAACCGTACCGGATGACTATCATCATCATCAATCCAACAAGACAACCGAGAGAATGAATATATACTGTACCCAAGTCAGCAAAGACTCATATCACCATAGACAGCATAAGAAGCATCCATAAATTACCATGTCACATTAACCTCAACCCAAAAAACTACCACCCCGCTAAATCCTTAACATCCACCCCCCAAACCCAACCCGCCACCCCCATCGCCCCAACACTCATAATAAGCGCCATCAACACATTCACCGCATTATTATCCAAAATATCATGCCCGCTCTCCACCCGCCGACTCTCATGCCCTTCATCGGTTGTCGTCTCTCCCGCCGAAAACGACCCGACGGACGTCTTACTGGCCCGGCTCCCTCTAAGCGTTGCGGCGGCCGCATTAGCCACATCCTCAGTCGCCCGCAGCTGCTGCGTCGCACTACTGCTGCTACTGACCCCATGCGCCGGCGTAAGACCCGCCATGTTCGCAGAAACACCAGCTTTTGTCGAGGAAGGATGAAGAAGGACCTTCTTTCCGCCGGACCCCTCCACGATCTTCCCCGTCCGCTTATCCACCACACTCGCCTGGAATAAGCCGCCGAGGACACTATCCAGCACGCTGCCCAGGGTTCCCCAAGCGGTGACAGCCGCAACCCACCCCGCGCGACTCTTCAACGTATCCACGGCACTGACACTGCCCTGGGCGCCGTCGCAGAACGGCAAGAACGCCGCCGACGACAGCGCGATGGTGAACGCGCCGAACATGCCCGCCAAGAGGCCGGTGCCGGTGACCCCGCCGTTGGTGCCGGGGGGCACGACGCGGAACGTAGGCGAGGTGATTAGGCGCGGTTTCGAGGTGGAGAGGATCCCGAGCTCGGAGGAGAAGGTGTCGGCGGCGACGGCGGCGTAGTTCCTGGATGTGCATGGTCGTTAACATACGCTTTGGGGGGGGGAGGGGGGTATAGGGGTCCAGGGAAGGTCTTTGTTCCAGGTAGGAGGAAGGAGGAGGGTCCTTACGCGACGATCCCGACCATCAACACGTCCGCGACGTCGTGACCGTTCGAGAAACATTGACCTCCATTATATCCGGCGGTGGACCGCTTCGCAAGAACGTAGGTATGGGCGAGGATGAGCACCGAGGCGACGATGGAGTTGGCGAGGACTTGGACGTGGGTGCGAGGGCCTTCGCCGCCCTCGGAGCCGGTCGCGGAGAGGGTCAAGCGGGATTTGATGTCGTGTTTGACCTATGTCAATGAGATCGATCAGCAGGGCCTCAGTAGGTCTTATTCCAAAAGAATCACCTTGGTAACTCGGCTACCACCGAGGTAGAAAACGGCCAGGAGGATAAACGGGGTCGACCACGGGTGGAGGGCGTGAGCTGAAGCCGTCAGCCCAGCTGCGACCAAACCCAGAGTGGTGAGGGTCTTGTGTGACCAGGCGCGATAGAGAAGGCCTGCAATAGCAGGAACAGCGATGACGGGCTTCATTGTCGCAGAATCATGAGGTTTCGTGGGCCGGTGGGAAGGGAAGCAGGGGAGCTCGGTGAGTGAGGCGGAGGCGGAGGGCTGAAGGAGGGAGCTCTTTTTATTCCGTATTTCACCTCCGCGGCTGTCCTGTCAGTCCAGTGACGTCCACAACCCACAATGAGACCCCACTCCCTCCCTAGATTAGTTTCTGATAAGAAAATAAATGAATATACTCCGAATTCTACTCCGAAGCTGAGTATCGACTCGTATCGATGTATAATCAGTCATTCGGATGCTGTGCAACTCTTGAAATATAAATAAACCCTGATTTCCACACTCTGACTCTATTCGTATATGAATAGATGATGATTAGTATACAAGGGTGGACCCCCTACTGTACCTCGGTTCAACCTACTATGTAAACAACAACAGATGAGCATCACCCGCAACTTGGACATAATATAGTATCGTACAACCGTTACCGCCATGAACATCGGAGCATCGATGGTTATATACGGATTATATATGACAAGACAATCGCTATATCCACCACAAGGCTCTGACATCATGTACTGTACACAAAGCCAGTCACGGACACCACGCCACAGCACACCACAAGAAAAGAAGTATTTACCACAGAAACAGAAACAAGAACTCAGGGATATCAAACCGCACCCAAGGATAATTTACTCCCCTTCCCAAACTCCTCGAAATCATCCCACAAATCGTGGACGAATTCACATCACGTCATGTCAATCGCTTGCATGGGTATAGTGAGAATATACGGCAATATGCAATAAGAATCAATGCGACACCAGCCCATCATCAAAGAGCGAGACCACTGCCATCGCCACTCCATCTGTACAGCGCCAACACCTCCCGGCGACGCTGTTGCTGTTCACCAAAGTCCTCAGGGATCCGACCTCGCACCTGTGCCAGAGCCGAGCGCATGACCTTGCGGAATGTTCGCTGAAAGTAAAGGTATTAGCTTAGAAGATATGGGAGGGTCGGTAGCAATGCATACCTGATACTCAGTATTTAAGGTGACAACGCAAGCCTCGTGTGCGCGAACAATCGTCTCGCAAGCCCGGACAACACTTGGACTGGCGTCACCTTGCAGCTTGTCGGCTGCCAGGAGGAGCAAGAAGCTACCCTGCAGCAAATAAATTCCGAAAAAAAAGGGCATGAAGCTGAGATCTGGGTCAAATTCGAGAATCTCTGCTGCCGCTTCGGCGGCGCCAACGGCATGGCTCATCGCCGAAACGAAAGCCTCTGTGGAGATCCAGAGATCGTGATCCTCCAACAGGTTGACCGGATCCCATTTGCCCGCCAGAAGAATGTGCAGAACATGCATGATGTGGGTACCATAAGCGACAACCATCTTCGTGTGCACAATGGACTCGTTCACCCGGGATCCGACCGTACTGCTGGAGCGACCCGACGGACTGAGATGATCCAAATGAGCGCCCTCTCCGATCTGCTCATTCTCCGCGTTTGCCAGGGTCAAGCTATTGGTGTAGCGCGCCTCAAACTCTTTTAAGCTTTGCGCGTAGGTATCTAAATGATGAGTAATCTCCAGCACCTGGTGCTCCCATTCAGTGCTATTTCGAAACGCGATGCCGAAGCGTGGATGGCTTCGGGCATGATGGAGGTCAACGATCTCGCCAAGGATAGTCATCAGCGGCAGGAAATATCCGAACATGCTGTGGCCGGTGCACTCGAGGGGAGGGCCAACCTGGCGATAGCTGGCGGTAGAGAAATCGCCCGCTTGCCAAAGGTCGTCATTCATGGGTTGCAATAGACGCCCGCACTCTTTATCGAGCAGCGTCAATGGCCGGTTATAGCAGAGAGCCAGATGACGGTCCGTCGCGTACAGGAGCCACCACAGGCGCCGGCGTTCTTCTCGTTCCTCCTCTGTCACATTAATGTTTGTACTGCCAGGTCCCAGTCCCATAGATGCCATTAACGATGTAGGGTGCCGTTTCGAAGGATCTCCTTCAGTGTCCCCCTCGCGCTCGCCGTCTGCTCGTGTGTGGGAAGTGTTGGGCGGCAGCTCACGACCGAGCTTCAACTCGCGCGCCAGAGACCATGCTGCCGTCCACCAACGCATACTGGCGGCCTTGTACTCACTTGCTGAAACGACCGTGGCTAGATGCACATATGTAGCCACGTCATCCACGGCACCGGTTGCGCTACTCTGCGCACCTAACTGATCCATCGAGACTCCAAACCCACCGAGGGCGACACCATTAATGACCATGTTGGCTGCATAATTGGGCGATGTTTCTCCCGTTGCCGGTCCATGAATCAGTGGTCGGAGTAGGCCAGTGGTCAGTTCCAGTAGCTTCTGACAGACACGCCCTCGAGCAGATGGCGGAGAAGTCAGGAATGCAGCCTCACTCGTCTGCGCGGCGACCCAGAGCATACTGGCCAGCAGACCAGGACTACACACTCGTGGTTTTGTAGGATGGAGGAAGGACTGCTTCCGGAAGATGTACCCCACCACATACGGGGACAACGGCGAAAGGTGGGAAGAGGATGAGCTGGTGAAGTAGACGTCAAGAAGATCACAGGCGAGGGATTGCGGAATGATGGACGCGATATGAGGCAGCACCGGCTGCAACACGGGGTATCGTAACGTGCTCGAATATGACGGTATACTAAAGGACGGGAAGTTGGCGGGAGATGGTGAGGGCAGAGGCAGCCAGCCTGGAGACTGTGCAGGAGGCGATAGTCCCAAGAACGGAGCCGTGGGGTTCTCGGCCGAATTTCCAATTCGAAAGTGATTCAAAGCGGAAGCATTAGGTTCCTGAGCGTTCACCATCGCAAATGCGTTTTCACCAAACCCCGAACTTAACCCATGCGACGATAGAATTGAGGTCGGTAAGGATCGAAGATCGGCGACAGGCATGGGAGCACGATTCGACTCGTTGTTCAACGAATTGAAATGGTTCATGTGCATGACGTCGATGGCGGCCCTCAAGGATGGCTGCGAATGTGGCGGAGCTGAATGCGCATCCTCAACCGCAGACATACTCGGAGCGTTAGAATTCCGCACCTGTCGTGACGGAGGATTCAGATGTTGAACTGCGTCGAAAGCCCCGTCAAATCTCCCGTTGACCTCCTGAGACGATCGTCGCCGATCCGGGGGCGTATGCTCCCCCACCAGTGCACCATTCTCTTGGGCCGATTGGCCGTTGCCCAGCTGGGTCGCTGCAGCCGCAGCGGCCAGATCCTTTCTCGAAGCTTTCCCTCGTTTCTTACGTTCCCGAGCGTATTCACAGGTCAATCCAAATTCTGCGCCGCCGTCAGTCAGCCTGATGAGTCACCGGGGGACTTCGAAGCGGGGAGGATCCAAACTACGAAGACAGAAGAGCTTACCTATGCAATGTGCACATGGGTGTTGTCCGTCGCATTTGGTCCGGAGCGAATTACACTGATCGCACGCCCGACTGATTCTCCGCCGGACGGGAGCCGACACCGAATTTTTGCGGATTGCAGAACGAGCCTCCACGAGGGGATCTCGCTGTAACGGCGGTTGGTACCTGGAGCCAGCGACTGAATCATTGTCGTCGCGGTAGAAAGATTGGTCTTTCGATTTGGGCAGCGAGCTTCTCAAGGAGTCTGAGGGCGTATCATCGCTGACGGTTGTGGCAGCGGCCTCGCGCGACAACTGCAATTGATCGAGGACATACTGCGAGCCCTCGGCAAGGGTGTCCAGGCCGACGGTCTGCGATTGGGCCATGCCTCCCGACTGTGAAGCTGAGGTAGAAGGAACAAATGAGCTGGCGTACTGCTGGATCGCGGTGGTCGACATCCTCACCGAGCAAAGCGAACAAGCGCCCGAGGCATGAGAACGGAGCGGGCTGCGGGCGACAGGCGGCGTGGGGTGGAGGGCCGTGAGGCCCCAACAGTTCAAGGAAGTGGAGTCGGCGGTAGGCTGGTATGCAGAAGTTAAATTACAACTTCGCAGCTATTCAGTTCAGAATCTTGTGGTGGTAGAATGAAGCAAAAAGGAAAAGATGAGGTGGTAAGTAAGTTGCGTGGTGGGTGGGTGAGTAATTGAGCCTGCCGGGGTTTTAGGTGGGGGGGGGGTGTGGAAAGGAAGAATGAGAGAGTAGGGGAAGGAACTCGAACAAGTGAACCAACAGCCCAGGTACCGGTTTGACCGAGAAGCGAAGCGTGGAAAAGGGAAAGGGAAAGGGAAAGGGAAAGGGAAATTGAGAACGTGGAACTCGACAGGCCGGGACGGAGGACGGAGCAAGAAAGGGAAAGTGGGAACTGGGAATTGGAATTATTGAAAGGGAAAGGGACTTCACAGGGAAATGCGGGGACGGGGAAACGCGGGCGGGACTAACCTGGAGTAGGAACCGCTGGGAACAAGCTGGGAACAGCTGGGCGAGGCGAGACCGAGACCCTAACAATATCAGGCTTGCGAGGCAATTTCGCCACAGACCATGGTCTACATCCCAAACAGTACTGTACATGAGAGAGTGTACAGTAAGTAGATTACTGGTATGTCTAGACGACCATCCGAGGTCTCTCTTTGGGTCCCTTCAGCATGATCCTGCTCACTGAGAAAGAACCGTTCACGCGGTATGCGAGAAGCATCAGCATCCGCATCAGCATCCGCATCCCTAAATCGAGTTCATCGGGATCGGGAGGTAAATAAACTAGGCTCTCGTGTTCTGCTCACTGCTGCTGGCATTCCCAGTCATTGGACCCTCTTCTTTCATCGGCTAGCAGTCGATGTGGACAGTCAGACTCGGCTATGGGCATATGTAATATCGAGCTCATGATTTAAGTGGCGGGTGGAGGGGAGGGAGGGAAGGGGGGGGGGGGGGGGATTTTAATTTGAAGGGGACCCAGACGAATGAGTGCCTAGTGGTCCGATCAGATCAGGTTGTCGTTAAAAGGGAGAGAAGAGGGGCGGGGAAAGAAAAGGCGGGGGAGAAAAACAACCTACAACAGACTTGACGGGTCCGTGACTCCGGATCTGCACCCTGCAGAGGGTCAACCCGGCAGGCAGTCAGGCAGTCAGTCAGTCAGTCACTGAGCAAGAAGGAGAGAAAAGGAAATGGATGGCGCTCACACCCGATACGAAATTGATTGGTTACTGCAAACAAACCCCCCCTGCCCCAATGCCCAATTCATCTCGGACCTCTGCCTCCGTGTCCCCCAAGGAACTTGGTGGAGGATCTGTGCGTTGGACAAACACCACCGATCCATTGACTTGACTCCACTAATCTGAACTGAGACAAAGAAAAAGAATTTGTGGCAAAGGGGGAGAGTCACAAGCAGTACCATAAAGGTATCCATACTCGGATCGTGCCCTCTGCAGTGCACGAACACGATCCATGATATATGTAGCTAGCAAATTGACTATTGCAATATCAAGAATGTTTAAATCTAGGAAATATGAAGTATAATTTTGTGACATTCTGATACAGTCTGAAAAAAATAACCAAACATGGTGGAAGCTAACTAATAGTCAGTTCTACTGCAGTGAAGTAAAGTACCTGGATTTTTGGCTAAGGGCATACATGAATGGTAGCCCGACAGGCCGCTGTGGCGGCCATCGTCAGTTAGAGAGGCCGTATACAACAGTGAAAGTGAAAGTGAAAGGAGTTATTCATAACAGGTGTATGTACATTGACATTGTAGTCATCGCTTTTCTTCTAGGACACAAGAGATCCGAAACAATGTCCGAGCTAACTATACAGGATGGAAGCAACCACGCGCCTCCGAAAACTCCATGCAGGAACACCCCACGTGTTGGTACAGCAAGCCAGAAAAAAAAAAGGACAAATCATACAAGGGATATCAGTAGAACCAGAAATAGACCAGAAAATTCGTAGAAGAAGTCACCCTCAGAGAGACGGCCTCTCTATACACTGCGCTCCTCAACAGAAGAAGTACTTGCTGTCTCGGATACGGCTCACGTCCCAGTCACCCTTCGCGGGGACCGCGCGGAACCGCATGGGAAGCCAAAAGTGCTGGTACGCGATTTGGGTGAGCTTGTTGCGCTTCATCTTGGGCCTGTCTTCGTCGGGGGATGTGACAAGCGCCTCCGGATCGGTCTCGATCGTGCCGAGTAGGGACTCGATAGCGGGATCCGACTCGTCGAATTCCAGAGGATCAGGGCCTCGACTGGTGATATCGGCATTGTCAGGAATGTGACCAACAGCCGTCGCACCCAGCGAGGTGGAGATGGACAGATCCTTGTCTTCGCCAAGCGATTCAAAGATGCTGGCGGGAGTCACCATCGCCTGACCCTGGGCTTGCAACTCCGGATCATCGGACTTCAGGAATTTCTGTCGCTTGTATTCCTCGAACAACTCGGAGACCTTCGAGCTCTTTCCTCGTCCTTTCTTGCTCTTGCGCAGCTCGTTGATGGCTTTGCCAATCCGACTGCGACTGGGCACCTTGGCAAGGAAGAGGTTGTCCCCGTAACGGACCTTGAACTCGGCGTCCAGTCTCTTAATCACGTCGTCAGAATGCATGCGCACAAACGCGTCTCGAAGAAGCTCGTTCATCTGGTCAACATCGCAGGCGTGGGTCCAGAAGGAATCATGGACGGCTGAAAAGCATAGACCGGCGTTGTGGCAGGCGATGGCTGAAAGCATCATGTGTGTGGCGTCAAGGGAGTGAATGAAGTTGGGAGGGAAAGCTTGAAGCTGCTTGCGGGCCGAGACAGTATCGTCCGCGTTGGCATCGACAATGCTCAAACTCTGCAGGGTAGTCGCGATACGTCGTGATGAGCGGACTCGGTAAGGCTGGACCACGGGTAATCCCAGAGGAGTTGTCCAGATGACCGTGGATCGCAGCTTCTTAGCCGGATCCAAATTGGCGGCCGTCGTCGACTGCATGGCTTCTTGCATGATTTCTTCGATCTGAGTCGGCGACATGGACCGAGTGATACGACTGGCACAATCTCCCAACCAGTATTGAATCTCGTGGGCACCGTTGAACATTGAGCCCAAAGCTTCGAAAATCTTGCGCGCAATATACAAAGCACCTTCAACTCTTTGCTCAGGAGTGAGGTCCGGATAGTGGTCGACAAGCTGCTTTCGAACCTGTTTCATAGCACCCATGAAGGTGACACCGTAGACGTTGGTCATGACCGTTTGCTTCACGATCTTGCGAGTGATCCGTCCTTCGAGGTATTTGGCGGTTGGATTGCCTTCGGCGGCTTCCTGGGCGACGGTTCTCTTAACAAAGTCCGCCACACCGGTGTAGACGTCGGATGGGCGATCGGAAGGCTCGAGGTTGACTTGCTGAGCGCCGACCTTATCACCACCCAGAGCAGCATAGTGTTGCAGTCCGTTGCAAGATCCGTCCTGATGAATGGGCAAGCGCGAGAGGTATTGAGTAGGGTCTGACAGCTTGAGCGCATTTCTCAACTCGCAGCAGGCAGCCAGGCACTGCCAAGGGTCTTCTGCCTTGAGCCACCAACGCCGGCCTTTAAGACCGTTGTTAGCAGAGTCCAGTACATCGTCCAGATGGTCCGTTGTGAACTGTTCGCGCTCGGAAAGGCTGGCCTTGTCAAACCCTGCCAGGTTGGCGATCTGGATTTTCAACCATCGGAGACCTTGCGGGCCAAGCGGCTTAGCTTTACTGAAAAGCAGCAAGCCTCTGGCATTGTCGGCGCCCATCTGATTGAGGTAAGGCGGAAGAGGGTATGCACGGCCACGGAAATCGATATTGTGGGGGAGATAAAACGTTTCGTCGAGATAAGCGCGGGCGATTTCCATCTGGAAGTTCTGGAAGCAACGCTGAGAATGGATACCGGATTTGCGATTCTCCATAAGTTGGACAAGTCGATCCCACTTCTTTTCAGCCTCATAACCTTCTTCCGCAGACGGTCTCTGAGGGGGAGTCAGGTTGGGCTCCAAGGCAGCGAGATTCGCTATAGCTTCGCCGGAGTTCCATGCTTCAAGCATGACATCGAATACTTCCCGGTTGATGACCCAGCCTGTAGAGCCCAGAATATCTAGACTTTCCCGGATTTTGTCAAGCCCGTTGCTCTCGATGGCAGCCTTGACATAGGCCGGTTGAAGATATTCGCCCGGAGTCGACCGAATCAGCTCACTTTTGTACACATAATAGGCGCCATCACCCAAGCCCTTCCAAGGCTTGGGCTCGCAAACCATCGGCAAGTGGCGGCTCAGGATGTCGGCGGGGGGCTCCTTGAGCAGAACTTCGACGACGGACGGATGTAGATGGATGTAGCCAGCGCGTTTACCCCAGGTGATCTGGTAATTGTGTTGGAATGCAGGTTGCAGGGTGACTTCCTTCTTCTGGGTCTCAGGATTGATGACCTCCACTGGAGCCTTGGCAGCGTCAAAGAGGAGGCCCATTAGCGTGGCGCCGACTTTGGCTTTCACTCGAGGCGACCAAGCAATAGACGGGTCCTCTTCCTCGATCTTGCGCGCAAGGTGATACCAGCGTGCTCGACCATCCTTCTGTTTGCGAATCGCAAGAGCCTGTCTGGCATTGCTGAGTTGAGAAGACTGCCTCTCCTTTTGATGCTGCAAACTTCTGTCTGCCAAAATCTCATCGTGGAATTCCGAGCCAATGTTGTAAGCAAGTCCGGCCAACTTAGTCCCTTGGTCCACTCCTAGACGGCTGAAGGTATTTATGGCACTCAGGATGGTGATTGCTGCAATGCGATCTGACTTCAAAGCACGTAGATAAACACCATACTCTAGCAGATCAAGTTCCGCTGCGTTGGGCGACGGCCCAGGCTTGGCAACTAGTTTGTCGAAAGTCTTTAGCTCTTCTTCAATCTTTGATTCCAGCCCAGTGAGCCATTGATCGATGATCGGACCTAAGCGCTTCTCAGCACCATCGAATCCTCGCTTTCTCCTTGTCTCACTCTCAGCGCGCCAACGGTTCAGCGCCGACTGGATGGCATCTTGTTCAAGCTGGCGCTGCCGGGCCTGCTTCTGCTGACGCATCTGGTCCTCCACGGTACCTTGCTCGTAAAGTGGCAATGAGACTCTGGAGGGGTCGGAGAAAAGTTCTAGTGACTCCTGAAGCGAAGAAAGACCGAGACCTTTCTGTTTGACAGCCTTGACCTCCACAGCCTGAGACTCGGCGACCGAGACATCATCGCCGGTTGTGTCAGGATCGAAGTTGCCCATGGCCACACGTTGCACGTCGTGAGAACAGATCTACACGGATAACACGGTTAGCATGTCTTCACTGATACCGAGAACTAGGGCGGTTAAAAGGAAACCAGAAAAATCGAGGGGACCGACCTGCGACAGCTCGCCCAAATCCGACTCCGAAAAAACCGAGTCCGAAAGGACTCGTTCCTCCAAAGATTTGTTCTTAGCCAATTCCCAGTACCGGCGCACGGTTCTGTCGCGCTTGGAACCGTGGAACATGCGGAGAGCCATCCGAATCATGACAGCATAACTTGTAGCATTGGGCTCGAGACCCTGTGCTCGAAGTTCCACTTCGAAGAACCTTTGGCAGGCAGGGATCAGTTCATGCTGCCGGGTCACGGACATGTGCGAGACGATCCCGTTCAGGTGGCGGTTGCACAACGCAAGGAACTCGGGTGATCCAGGAGGGAAACAGTCCTTTAAGCGACTGATCAGTATAGCAGATCTCTCGTACTGGTGAATGCGAAGCGACACGTCAAGGTTGGCCAGCATTTCATCGGCGTCACCCCCCAAGCCCTTCACTTTCCGTTGCACCTTGGGCTTGGTTTGCGCAGCCTCGTTCATAATGATCAAAGAAGACTCAGCGAGCCCCTGGGGGTGTGGTCTAAAAAAGGGAGACAGTCTCTGATCGAAGAAGCTGTCGCCAGAGAAGGTAGACCCATCGGAGGAGGCGTTTTCGAAGGGGATATACGAGCCTGACCCCTGACTGAATGTGGACTGGTCTGCGGCGGTGGCAAGGCTTCGGTTGGAGGTCAGAGAAGGTCGGCGAGAACGCTCTTGTGTGTTTGTTGTAGACGAAGTGTTGGTGAAAGAAACTGGTCGAGTTGACTGCGAATGAAGCCTCAATGTTGCCGGTGAGGGCAGGGCCGAGCGGCCTGTAACTCGCACGCGAGCCAAAGCATTTTTTCGAAGAGCGACGCGGGACAACATGGTAGTAAAAAAGTCGCTAGAAAGATAGAATTATAAACAGGGCTCATGCAAGTCGACGGAGATTAATCGTGAAGTAATAGGATATTATTTATGGGAAAGAAGAGAAGGGTAAGACTGAACGCGACGACGAAGGCGCGAGAAGAGCAGTGTCAACGAGGAGATGCAGGATGGGAATTGGAGTGATCAAGAGCGAGCTTATTGCCAGGCAATAAACTTCAATTCATCAATTCCAATAAACAAGCCGCACTGCAGCCCTCTGAAGACGTAAAGGAGAAATGAATGAGAGATAATGGGGAAGGAGGAGGAAAGGATAACAGGCGTGAAGGCAAATTGGAGGGAAAAAAACCCAATCTACTTTCAACTCGGCGGAGAGAAAAGGACGGGAGGAAAAATAATAGATTCTGATTAGCAGCAGAAGAGCAGCAGCAGAACTTCGGGCCGGGAGAGGCGATAGCACCAGCACATGACTGCACGTGACCTTCTGGAAGCGCGATAAGATTTTCGCCGTCCGGGACGCTGATTGGCCACATCCGCTCTAAGTTGAGATTCTTCGAGTTTCGGCGGAGGCAACTTGGAAGACTTGCTCCACCTTAATTATCAAATGCTATTGCGCTATCCAGTTGGGACATCACAATGACAATTGCATGCAAGGCAATGAATTTCCGCCATGTTACGGAATCCTCATAATCGAGCGAGCAGGTCCCGTATCTATACTACAGACGATATACCAGCCATAGATATGCAAGTCATTGCCCTGTCGTAACCTATCTGTCAACTGCCTACCTATATATCCCTATCTACTACTGCCCACCGTCCCCAGCAGTCCCCTCCCGGGGCAATACCTCCTCGCGCTGCTTCTTCCGGTTCTGTTTCATCGCCCAACCCGTCAACTCCGGCCGCGCAGGGTCAATCCGAGGCGCGCTCATCTTATCCAGATACTCCTCGGACTCGATGGCCGACTGCAGCTGCGGCAGCGTCTCGACGTCCTGATGCATCATGTAGTTCTCGTATAGCTGCCACGATTCCTCGGTCTGGTTCGCACAGAACAAATCAGCATGCTGTCCCTTTCCTACAGCGCGTGAGAAAAAAATAAATAAATAAAACTCACCTCAGCATCCACCCACTCATAATCCTTCCACTTCTCATCCTGCATCTGCTTCAAGAGGTCCAGGTTGCCCGCAACCATGGCCGCTTCGCCGTCCTCCGCCGCCTTGATCTTGACGTCGATGGCGCGGGCCTCACTCTCGCCCGCCCGCTCCCCCTCTTCGCCTTCCTTGCCGCGCGCTTTGCCCTTTCCCTTAGTCGGGATCTCATCCAACGCATCGAGATGATGCAATTGGGGATGCAACTGCACCACCGCGGTGACCGGCGACAAATGGAGGTTTTCTAAAGACGCGATCAAACAACCAATTAGCCATACCCTTAACCCCTAGGAAAGAGAAAGGAAAGGAAAAGAAAACTCACCCCCCCGAAAAGCCCCCAACATATAAACCGGATCTCCACCCTCAAACCCCTTAATCCGCCCGCCCAGCGTCTGCACCCGCAACAACTGCGCCGCCGTCTCCTTCCCCTCATCGACCTGCATCGGACCAGCACCAGCACCACCTTCTATCTTCACTTTCCCTCCACTCCCAGCACCACCACTGCTCCCCCCAGCACTAAACCCGCCCGCCATGCCATAGGCGCCGCCCTCCCGCGCGCGCTGGGATTTCTTCAGCGCATCGCCGTAGCGCAAGCCCTTGCTGACGTCGTAGTTCACGCGGGTGTTGATGGGCACGTCGACCTCGACGAGCCCCGTCGTCGGCTTCAGCCGGAAGCCCGTGGGTTTCTGGCCGTGGCGGTCGTCGTAGCTGTACCCCGTCGGGCGGTCGAGGTACTGCAGCACGTAGCGCGAGATCTCCGAGTCCGTCAGGTAGATGTTGTAGGAGGCGATGATCGGGTCTTCGTCGTCGTGGGTGGGGGCGGTCATTGTGGTTAAGGCCCTGGCCTAGGAGATTTGACTTTTTCAGATCGAGGAGGGGGGAAAGGATTGTCAATGGTTGTCAGTGATAATTAGGGCGTCAGGAGGATTAGGATTGATATTAGAATGATTGACAGCGGGGAAGTTGATGTGATGTGCCTCTTTTTTTTTTTCCAACCGCCGTTTTTTTTTATCGGAGGCGGAGGGTGATAAGAACTGTCCCCGCGGCGGTTGATACCGCCTTCCATTTTTAGGAATGCGTGTTGGCACGTACGGTATCTGCGGCGGGCTCCGGGTTTGCGGCAGTGAGCTAGGAAATTGATCACCTCCGCTTCAATACTGGCTACATTTTCGACAAGCTACAGAGGACACAATCTCGAGACTGGAGAAAAAGAGAACTCAAGATAGTTGTATAGAAACAAATTAGTCATCAAAAAGTATGTACAAAGGAGCTAGCTGTATCATCATCCAAGATCATAAACAGTTCGTTCAAATAGATGTTTTTTCAACAATGCAAAGAGAACAATGCGATACATATATCATGATCGCTGTATCTCGTCGACAAGCATTTTACTCCTCATCTTCCTCGGCAACCTGAAAGATATGGTTAGTGAAGTACTTTTTATAGAGCGATGAAAGATCAACTTACTCCTTCGTGGAAGTTCTGTCCATCAGTTGTCGCCTTGATCACACCAGCACGGATACACCAATCTCCGAATCGTTCCGGCACCTCGCCATCGGTGTTGCGCTCGGCAGCGTAGCGCTTGAGGAGACCCTTCATGATATCGAGGATCTCGTCCTCCTTGATCGAGGAGCGGTACAGCTTGTTCAGACGCTGTCCGTGGTACCCACCACCCAGGTACATGTTGTAGGCGCCGTACGCCTTACCAACGAAAGCAACCTCAGCAAGCCAAGGTCTGGCACAGCCGTTGGGGCAACCAGTCATGCGCATGACAATGCTGTCCTGAGCGAGACCAACCTCCTCCAAGGTAGACTCCAACTTGCCAATGAGAACGGGCAGATAACGCTCAGACTCGGCCATAGCAAGACCGCAGGTGGGGAAGGCAACACAAGCAGAGGAAGACAGACGGAGACCGCTGAAGGCAGTGTTGTCAAGCTTGTACTTGGCCATCAACTCCTTGACCGCGGGCAGATCCTCATCCTTGATGTTGGAGATGATGACGTGCTGGTTACCGGTAAGACGGAACTCGCCCTTGTCAAGCTTGGCGAGCTCGCGCAGACCGGTACGCATCTTGAAATCGGCAGTATCCTCGATACGACCGTTCTCAATGAAGCAGGTGAAGTGGTTTAGACCCTTCTCATCCTTGAGCCAGCCAAAGGTGTCGACGTTGGAGTCGAACTTGAAGGGACGAGGCTCAGCGAAGCGCAGACCCTCCGGAAGAAGAGCCTCCACCTTCTCCTTGTAAGCCTCAACGCCCATGTCGTCAATGGTGTACTTAAGACGAGCGTGCTTGCGATTCTTGCGGTCTCCGTGGTCACGCTGAACAAGCATGATCTTTTCACAGACAATATGGGCCTGGTCCGCAGGGACATAACCGAACATGCGTCCGGTCTGAGGGTAGGTCTTCTTGTTGTTGTGAGTGGTACCCATACCACCACCGGCAATGATGTTGAAACCCTCCAGGTGTCCATCAGTGCCCTTGATGGCAATCAAACCAATGTCGTGAGCGTAGACATCGGTGTCGTTGTGGGGAGGAATGGCAATCGTAATCTTGAACTTGCGAGGAAGGTAGGTAGGACCGTACAAGGGTTCGTGGTCGACGACAGCATCACCAGCAACCTGGACCTTCTTGTCATCATCATCCTTGAGCCAGATCTCGTGATAAGCAGAGGTGGCGGGGAGAAGGTGGTCGCTGATTCTCTGGGAGACTGCATGGGCTTCGCGGTGGAAAGTGGAAAGCTCAGGCAGCGAACTGCACATGACGTTACGGTTGACATCACCGCAAGCAGCGATGGTAGTCATGAGAGACTTGTTGATGGCACGCATAGCGCCACGAAGGTTGCGCTTGATGACACCGTGGAACTGGAAGGTCTGTCTGGTAGTGAGCTTCATGGTCTCGTTACCGTGGGAGCTGCTAATAGCATCCATCTGCAGCCACTGCCAAGGAGTGGCAATACCACTGGGCAGACGACAACGGATCATGAAGCTGTAAGCAGGCTCAAGGCCCTGAGCCTTACGCTCGTCACGAACATCACGGTCATCCTGCATGTAGGTTCCGTGGAACTTGGTGAGCTGCTGATCACTGGCCGAGATGGCAGCAGTGCTCTCATCCAAGAGACCCTCGGCGATGGTACCACGCAGGAAGTTCGATTGAATCTTGATATCTTCGTTGGTCAACGGAGCAGGCTCCTCCGGCAGGCCCTCGACCTTGTCAACGCCAAGAGCCTGCCAGAGACGAGGCTCCCATTCAGAGTAGCCAGTCTGATAAGCATCGGGATCCTGGTCGTCACCCAGACCAATATCGGTAAGCTTGCGGCCGCCCAGGAAGGCAACACGAGCATCGAGATCCTTCGCAGGCTTGTTGTAATAGATCTTATCTTCCTTGCGAGGCCAGTAGTGGCTGTCACCGAGACCGAAAACGGAGTAGTTGATGGAAGAAAGGTCCAAGTCGCCAGAGTTCTTCACGAATTCCCACAGACCACGGCCGTTCTGGGGAAACTCACCCTGACCAGCAGTGCTAGAAATGAAGACCACGTTCTCCTCAGTAGCGAGGTCTTCGGTGGGGTAGTCATCCATAGCCATAACAAGGGTCTTAAGACCTCTAGCGCGACCACGGTTACCGAGACGCTTGGCAATGTTCTGTGCATTACCACCATCCGAGGCGAAAAGAATGGTCAGAGGAGCACCGAAGAGACCCTCGAGCAGCTTCTCGTAGGAGTCCTTGGCCTGACGCTTCTGCAAGGCACGGACTTCGGTACCATACGACTCGGCAAGGACAGGGGAGAATTTGGGTTGACGGTTTGTGAGCTGCGTAAGCTGGTTGTCACGGCGCAGGAACTCCTCAAGCTCACGTCTAATGCGGTCAGAGTCGAAGATGAACTTGGCATCACCCTTCTCCTCGTTGGCGGGGTTCCAGCGGTACAGAGGCCAGTATCCAAGATCAACAGCCTTCTTGGTCTCCTGGAGGACAGTCAAAGCGGAGTCGTTCTCCTGGTTGTAAGGCAAGTAGGCGACGATGACGGAGGGACCCTCAAACTTCTCGGCCTCGGCCATGGCCTGGAGCACCTGAGTGTAGGAGCCGTACACAGCGACGGAAGCAACATAGGCGTTGCCATAGTTCATAGCATAGAGACCGATATCCTTCTTTCTGCGGGTAGGATCAGCTGCGGTGCGCTCCGAGTAAGGCTGAGAGTCGATGATAAGCATGTTGACATTAGCTCCGGAGGCGAGAACGTGGTGAACACCAGAGTTTCCAAGATCGTAAGCCCAGGCATCAGAGCCAATCAACCACAGCGACTCATCGTAGAAGAGCTTCTTGGAAGCCAGAAGCTGTCTAGCGAGCTGGGAGCCGTCGTTGGACAAGCGCGCGATAACATCAGGAGCCAGCTTGTTGGCCTTGGACGCATCAGAAGCGCTCAGAGCCCACTTGGACAGCCAAGAGCGGGGAACATCAGTGGCGAAAGTGGAGGCCTTCGAAGCCTCCTCAACCTCGCGGATGAAACGCTTGCGGTGCTCCAATCGGGCAATCAAGGCACCAAATCCGTATTCGGGGCTAGCAGCAATCGTGGCGGAGATACCGGCGTTCTTGGAACCTAGCTGGTTGGCGACGTGAAGGCGCTCACCGAACAGCTGATTAAGGATCTTAATGTAGGCATTCTCGATGTGGGGCTGCTCGAGGGAGGTCTGGAGAGTAGGGACCTTGGAGCTTCCGATTTCTAGGTTCTGGATGGGAGAGGGGGAGTTCAAGTTCTGAACGATGCCACGCAGAGCCTGGACCGCAGTCGAGGGCTCAACATAGCCAAGTCTGTAACCAACAATCTGGGGGGTAGGCCGACCGGCAGAAGGAGAGAGGCTCGAGAGGAGATCCATGAACGAAGGACCCCACTTGGTGGTCTTACGAACCTGCTCCAGGACCGCAATCTTCTCCACAGAGTTGGGAATAGAGTTGATGATCTGACCACCGACCCAGGGGCGGTACAGGCGGGCAGTGATGAGTCCCACACTGCTCAGCTCACCAGTCTCCTCCTTGCCCAGGACATCCACGAACACACCGGTCGAACCGAACACAAAAATAGCCGACTTGGCATCAGAGGGACCTGTGTACTCGATAGCGCGGTAGGTGCGTCCGACAGCCTCGGAGAGACTCTTCCAGATCTGAGAAGTCCACTCAAAGACATCAGCAGCGCTGACGGGGCGGATCGAGGAAGCATCAACAGTAGTGGCAGCAGAGCTCGATCCGCGGCTATCGGTGCTGCTGTCCCGGCGAGAGGAGCCAACGGAGGAAGTATCGACGCTAACGCTGGCAGAGAGCTGCGAGGCTTGAGCAGGAGTGGAAGTGCCCTCACTCTGCTGATTGGTGCTCTCAGCGGCTTCCTCAGAAACGGTGGCGACGCGGCCGGAATCAGTGTACAAAGTCTGGACACCCGATCCTGCAGTATGAGTAGCAGCGTCCGGGCCTAGGTTCAGTAGAGACCGTACGACGTCGGCACTTTCCTCTGTGATAGCATCATCGCGGGCAGAGTTGGCAGGATCAAAGAAATGAATGACACCCTTGCCAGACTTGCGAGCCAAGGCATGTGCAGTAATAGCAATGTCCTGAGCCTCCTGAAGAGTCTCGGAGTGCAGGAAAGTGAAGCCACATTGCCGGATAGAGCTAATCACGGAGTAGTCTGGGAAAGGATAGGGCTCCAGCGCGACATGGAGGACGATCGGACTGTTCGCCAAACGGTAAAGGTGGGGAATCGAGGAAAGTAGTGCAGAAGAGCTGGTGACCACGGACACAGCATTGCCAGTCTGCAGGGGGTGGAAAGCGGAGAGAAGAGGATCCTCGTTATATCGTACAGCCACAAGCTACTTGACTATTAGCTTTCCACCTTCTACAAGTTCATTCACCAGGAAGTAAGAGGTACCTCTGGGGTGCTTCTGGGCAAGACGCTGGGAGTGTTCTTCGTCTTGAGGGTCTTCAAAGTCTTAGAGAACAAGGAATCTG